GCCTGACACATGCTCACACATGTATGTAAAATGATACGATGCCTGTTGTTTGCTTAAAAATACTAAAAGGGGGCAGGGGTGAAATAGGGAAAGGAAAGGAGGGAACAATATAAAAAAGTGTTTTGTTGGCAATGGGTGGATGTGGGTTCATATACTATTCTGTCTACTCAACTCATATACTATTCTCTCTACTCAACTGCACGTTAGAAAAATTCCACAATGAAATGAAATGTGTATGTATTTGTACACATAGGCTCTATATATGTGCACCAAATGGAGGCAGGCAGGGGGAAAGGCAGGGGGGAAATCACCCTTAGAGATAGTTTTAATAAAATACACATGTCCAGACTGTGTATGTGTGTGTGTGAGAGAGAGAGAGAGAGAGAGAGAAAGACTCAGAGGCAGAGATAGGGAGAGACAGAGTGACATTACAAGTACAGTTTAAAGACTATCAGAAAACTTATTTTTCATGGTCTACACGGTTTTCTGCCAGGGCTTCAAACCAGTTCATTCTGTTACACCAACTGCTGTATACAGGAGAATCACCTGGGAATCTTGTTAAAAATGGAGATTACAATTCCCTGGAGCTGGGGTGAGATGCAAATGCTCAGAAGCGGGTCAAACCAGGATGAACTGGTTCTTTGGACCAGTGTCTTTTCCTACTATAATGAACAAGGAAGCTCTCCTTAGTATACAAACATACACATTTGTCTTAGGAGAAAGACAAGGCTTTCTAATCCGGTAAAGAGTTACAGTCTCTGAAAGCCACAGGGGCAGTTCTACGCTGCCCTATACGGTCATGATGAGTTGGCATCAGCTCAATGGTAGTGAATTTGGTGTTAACCAAGGATAGAGACAGACATATATCTGGCCCTCATGAAACGTAGGCAAGTGACAAGAAGATGGGCAGTCAAACACAGCATGAAGAGAGCATGCACAATGGCCATCCACCTGATGGCAGGGACTGGTTGTTGAGACATTTGTATCATTAAACATTGAACACACCGTAGTCACTGAAAACATTTGTCGTGTTAGGTAGATGAAGGGTGTCCCTTACAAATTAACTAAAACTATTCATTTACCTAGTCAAGCATGTCTTAATACTCTGAATGCCCGATTATGCAGTTAGCATGAATAGCATGTTAAGTACTTCAGAAAATAGTGCCCTAATGAATTTCCTTGATCTACCATCTCTACCACTTACCAATCCCTGGAAATCTGGTTTCTTCTATCATGAAAAGCATTTTGGAATAGATGGCGTGTGGCCTTCTAAGCTCAAAATTCAGTGGCCCTGCCTCCATTGCTAGACTTACTCACCTCGTTAGCATTTGATGCTTAACCATCTCATTTCTCTCCTCCTGGGTTTTCAACGTATTATATTCTAGTTAGTATTATGTCTAGCGATTACTTCTTGGCTCCTCTTCCTAGGTCGTCTTCATTGTCTAACAATGACAGCCGAGTGTCCCGCTGAGCTCCGACCTTGCCTTCTCATGTCCCTTCTCCCTAGACCCATGTGGAATATGAAACTCGGTGGCATGAGCAACAATTTCTGTGCGGATCCCAAGTGCGTCCTGCTGCTCTGGCCCCAACTCCACCTAGCTGCCTCGCGTACAGGCTTGTCAGCCCCAAATATCACACAAAGCCTCCCTTGCCCCTTCCTCCAAGCCCCTTTCCTGTGCTTCCTGCTGTACCGTGGGGCAAAAAGCACCCAAGGCAGAAACTCTGCGAGTCATTCAAGGTGCCTCTTTCCCTGAGCGTCCACATTCAATCAGTCCCATATCTCATGGTCAGTGCACTCCCTGCCCCACTGCTGAGCCAGGGCTGCTTGCAAAGCTGTGCATTACACAAACTGTGCGCGCTGGGAGCATGGTTAAACACGCTGGCTGATCAAGGAAAAGTGGTGGCCTGAACCCTAGCACAGGAGGTTCCAGCACTGGGTGGATAACTGAGAGATGGGGAGTTTATGTTCTCCCTGCGCACTGGCAGCCTACTTCTGAAACCTTAGCCGTTGAAGACTCTTTGGAGCACTACTCTGACACACATGCGGGTTTGCCGTGAGGTGGCACGAATGCAAAGGTAGCTGGTTTGGTTTTTATTTTCAGATTTGGATTAACATTCCAATCCCACCCTCTCTGACTGGGTTATTTAACATCACTGATCCTCACACTTTCCTCGTCTGTGAAAAGAAACAGTAATTTTCTCCAATTACATGACTGGTTTGGTATTATAGGATTAACAACCATAGTTTTTCTAACATTAACTAGAGGTCAGGCGAGATACTACTGCACCTACTGTAAGCAGTATCTAGTGACATACTGCTGTCTTTTGATGTCAGTACGTCCACTTGCATGCTTTCATGGAACTCATTGGATGGACAAGCCATCACGTATTCATTGCATCTAGTCTTTTTTTTTTTTTAATAATTTTTAGGGGCTCATACAACTCTTATCACAATCCATACACACATCAATTGTGTAAAGCGCATTTGTACATTCATTGTCCTCATCATTCTC